ACTCTGCAGCAGCCGCCTGCACCCGCCACCTCAGCTCTGGCAGTAACGACTGCAGTAGAGAAACAGAGGCGGTTACGCCTGACTTGACAGAGGCTGTTACGCCTGATTTGACAGGACACCACTATATAAGGACTCTGACCCCCAAAGACGGGGGAGAGAATGAAAAAATGGAGGTAATCCCTTCTCTCTAGCTCTCTCATTTCTCTCCAAGCTCCCTACAATCGGAATGTTAACTTAGGCATCGGAGAGTCCCCGCCGGGAAAATACCCCCGGGTCCTCTGATTCAGTTCTCGCAGGTCCCTCAGCTCCCGCCGCCTACAAAGGAAAGGAGATCACCTCATGCAGAGGGCAGCCGGGTTGCGCTACACCAGGGAGCTCCATCATCCTCTGAGTCACAGGCCACCTGGGAGCAGGTCAAATGACGAGGTACTTAGACAAAAAATTGGTACATCACAAAAAAAAATTGGTACATGACCAGAAACGGTTACATCAGGTAACTACATGGGGTCGGCTACATGAATCCTGTTTTGTCTTCACGGATTGGTGAAACAGGATTCATGTAGCCAACCCCATATAGTTGGGTTAAGGCATGGATGGTGATAATGATGAGTAACTAAAACAGATGTGAAATAAATAGACTATTAGTAATGGAAATTATAAACTTTCCAGGATATGTCATCCAAAATCCTCCTCTGAATGCCCTCTCCCTACAGAATGCCCTTACAGCCTTACGGCCCTTGATCATGTCAACCCTGTGCCCTTAATTAAATGTGTGGATTGGTACTGGACTATAATTCTGAAATTTCCATCCCTTTGAACTTATAATACTCAACTCAACAAAGCCTGCCCAACATTGTTGATTTTTTTTTCTTTTCTTTTTTTTTTTTTTTTTTTTGGGGGGGGGGGGCATTGTTAATAATAACAGGTCAGAGACAGAAATGTTGATTTGATGATATTAAAGTCTCATATAATGGATATCCATTAAATGCTTCACTCTTAACTAATAACTAGGAACATGAAAAGAATCAAAAGGGTATGGTGGTACCAAAGGTGACAGACGAGATAATAGTCCTCCCAGATCTTGAATTTCAGTACCCGTGGCTGTACACTGTTACAGAATCAGTGAAACTAGCATTAGTTGACATATTTGAGGTAGAAATACAAAATATAGGCACAGACACTCAGCAAACATTTTTCAAATTCTACATGGCTGGTTACAGACTGACTTAATCCAGACTATTCCTATCAAAGCCCCAACTCACCAAACCCCAAGAAATGGTCTGGTAATAGATGAGCATTAATCAAGTGAACTCATATGCTTTAATATTTAAATAGCTAATTCTTATTATTTAGTTAACCTTGAGTTTTTTCTTAATTTGCACCACTGATTTACTCTTTTTTTTTCTTTCTTTTTTTTTTTTTGTCTCTTCAATGACAGTATCAGATGACTAGCTTCTAGAACGCCATAATCAAGATGAACCTTCCTGCAGCAAGGAACACATTCTGACTGTCAACCATCCATGTAGGTGAGAGCCCAATGGTTCCACTAGTAAGTAGTAACTTTCCCGCCCAAAGCTAAAAAGCTAGCACAAACAACATGCAATGACATTTTTTGAAGAGTAAAGGAAAAGTTCATTAAACAAGAAAATAGTACAATCTGAGAGGTGTCAAGGTGACACCTCAGCAAAAACAACTGAACAGACAGCTACTCTACTCTGAACTGATCAACATTACAAACTTGAATCTCAAGAACATTCCAAAACTCTCCCCCAATTCTGCCTGTTTAACTTGAGCAAAATCAGGGAGAACCAAAATCCAATCCATCACTAGTTTTCCAACCGAAGCCACCAGCACCTCAACACTCTTTGATTTGTTTTCAAACAACCTTCTGTTCCTTTCATTCCAAATGATCCAACACACACAGCAAATGGAATACAGCTCCAAATTATCCTTTCTTTCCTGCTACCTCTAAGCTTTGGCCAACTAGAAAACAGTTCTGTAGTTCTTGGCTGAAATGCTCTTACCCCGAATAGGAAGGAATGAAATTTCCAGATAAAATTTGCTATCTTGCAAGAGAAAAATAAGTGTCAAACTGACTCTTCTTCTGAACGGCACAAATAGCAGTAACTTTTCATGCAGAATCACCTGGTCTTCAAATGATATGAAGTCAAGATACTGTCGCAGAGCTATCAAGGATCAACCAAGCAAAGGCTTCAACCCTAGGAGGGATTAGATTCCCCCTAACACTTTCCAGATGGTCTGAATCCAATTGATCTCTGACCAGCTTCAGGTAGAAAGATTTCATCAAGAACATCCCATCCTTGCATTCCTTCCACCACAGCCCATCCCTTGAAGAGACTGAAACCTTTGTTTTCTTGAGTCTGTCCAGCAACATTAGGCACTCATCCAGCTCCAGGTCCAGCAAAGGCCTTCTAAACTCAGGACACCAGACCACCTGCTCCCTCCTTACCTCATACCACTGATCAACCCTCACTTGTTCTGACAGTCTATAGAGTCTTTGGCACAACTCACTCAACTTCCCCAATTCACACTACTCATCCTCCCAAAATCTCACCTTAGATCCATATCCCACTTTAAAATTGACCAAATGCTTAAATTCTTGGTTAAATTGTGTTATTCCTTTCCAAACACTCACCCCATAGGAACTTGATACGTCCCTTGACTCCCAGCGATTTAAAAGATTAAAGGGTTACAGGAACCAACAGCCACCTAAGTTGGTAGGTTCCCCATGTCTCACCTTTACCATTTGGACAACATGGAGGCACCATACAGCTCACTATTTTGTTCTTGCAATATGGGCAGATAAGCACACTAATTAATCGCTGTAGATCTATGTTTTGCAACTTTTAATTTAATTATTTAAATTTTGGAATACAGAGAAATACATGTGTGGATACCATTTGGTCAGAGAAAACAAGGACATAATGATAGTATTTAAGTGTTAAATGCATTTCATCTTAATCTCCAATTACCCTGATATACCAAGCTAAAAGCATGTTTTAAAATACCATTACCAGCATCTGTATCAGTAACTCAATTAAACCTTAAAAATCTGTTATCCCAAATCTGATATAACAAATTCTGTTTTGCCATTCAACTTGGAAAGCACAACCTTATCTTTTATTATGTAACAGCATATTATAATAATAAATGAAAAGACACATCTGCCCATAAGTGGGTTGCAGCAATAAAGTCAAAAACTACTAATAAAACAAAGAATAACCAGATCCATTAACAGACCAGTCCACATAATAGCAACATACTAATAATTGCAGCCCATATTTTAGCAACAAGAAACAAAACACATGAAGTCAAAAACTACTAATAAAACAAAGAATAACCAGATCCATTAACAGACCAGTCCACATAATAGCAACATACTAATAATTGCAGCCCATATTTTAGCAACAAGAAACAAAACACATGAATGCATTCAGTCTTATACTTCACATAAATTGGCCTTTTGCATATCTGTTATCCAGACACAATAATGATATATCTTATGCAATGGATAAGGCATAGATTGATATTAAAACCATGAATAAAATAGTGGCTATGTTACACAGATATGGAAAGGAGCCAAGGACACGGTGTCAAATATAGAGTTTACACTAAGCATCGCAGTATCATAACATAGTGGCCATATGAATTGAGTTATCAACAGGTACATCTGTTGATACCCCTCAATATAGATATATTCATTCTGGAACTTTTGTTGCACAAACTATCAATCCCACAAGTATGGGCACACATAAAGCACATCAATTAATACTTTTTTTTTTGAGAAATGATAACTATTTCTAATAATACATGTCTTATCCATTAAAGCAAATATGAATGAAGTTTCATTCTAATGGCATAAAAAACATTTTCTATACCCCAACAACCACCAAGCAAACACAGTTTCAGTATCAAGCTAATTGAAGCTTTGAAATCCCAAATTCAGAACAATCAAAGAGATGAAAATGGAGAACCTTCACTCGGTATCCACGTTCCATAAATCTCTTGGCCATATCTGCTTTCATTTGAAGGTCTCTTTGTTCCTGGATACAGAATAAGTAGGTCATAGTTCTATAAATATCAATGTAACTTAGTTTCTGAAGTCATGGATTGTTTGATAACACCCATTACCTTTCTAGGAAAAAGCTAAGTAATTTAGAGAATCAGAATAAAATGACAGTATAATAATTTATTTAATATTAGTGTGGGTAGTTTGGTAAATATTTTTATTTGTGTCATAGTTTTAAATATTAACGGGCTAGTGCAGTAGTGATGTCAACAGGTTGGGTCTGGTCAGGGTCAGGGTACACCCCAGTCCCGAGCTGATAAATAAATATGCAGAACCAGTCCTGAGCCAGACTCTATGGGGTCTATAATGACAAACCCCAAACTGAGCCAATTATAATTGACAGTTCTACTTTTAACCTGTAATTTGACAATGGACTTGTTTATTGTTAAATGACACATTTGGACATAATAATATGATAATAATACAAGTATACTGTATACCATGAGAAAGACATGTATTATACTAGTGGTTATCTTAGTCATATATGGTCAGTTCAGAACAACCAAAACCAGTCCTAACAATTATAATGGGGACTGTTGAAATAGCACGAGTTATGAGTATTCTTGTCCATGTAGTTAATCTTCTATAAGGGTTAATATTGACATTTTATATTATCTTCTTTTTATCAATGACATTTTATATTATTTTATTTCACAAAGATATATAATTCAATGAAGTTGGGCACACCCACTAATTTTCCCTCTTAGTCTCATCTCTTCTTCTTCTTCACTAGTTTCTCCTTGATTCAACTAGAATCATATCACCACATCTCAAGTTGGTATCTTTTTGAACTGAGAACCTTGCTGGTGTCACTGACATTACAAGATGACATCAGCAGCAGTACGGTTGATTCAATTTCAGTCTGAGAAAACCCTAGAATTGAGTAGAGGATGAAGGGTATTTTCCTGCAGCTTCCCCAATGACTAGAAAAGGTTTCAGATTTTTTATTGATTTTACAGTGGAAATTTGCAATGGATACCAGATCTGGTTTCTGGTTTGTACGGATCAGTATGAGAAGATTTGAGGACAGGATCCACACTACAGTGTTTGATCCACCTCATATTTCTGGATTAGAGACAGTTGATCACACAATTTTTTGCAGGTTAATAAATATTTAGCAGAGTTTCTTCCAAGTATATATTGCTGCACAGGCCTGTGTTCAAGGTTTTATAGGCTGTTTTCACTATGTGCAATTTGAGGAAATGGTTCATCAGTGCTTTGGCAGGATTATGATGTTTCTTTGGTGTTGTATTTGTGTGAACAGTAGCAGGTTTGTGTTCCCAGTCTTAACTAGGAGTCTCTCTAGAACTTTGTAAGAGGCATGTACTGGGAGTTATTTACCATGTGAAGTAAGGGGGTACAAATTTGACTAGAGAATGGCTTCTGGTTAAGATGATAAGGTCCCGGGACCTAGTACAGTCACTACAGTGTCTATTGGTAACAAGGATAACACATAGACCACAACTGTGAACCTTTGATGGGATAAACTACCTGGAGTGGGCATGGTCAGTAAGAATCTCAATTGGTGGTAGAGGAAAGTCAGGTTACTAGATAGGGAAATAAAAGGAACCTGCCTCTAATGATTCCTCCCATGCCCAAATGAGAAGAGAACACTATAATTATGTCTTGATTAGTTTGGTCCATGCAGCCTCACATTGCTAGGAACTACATGCTCCTTGATTCATCCAAGGAGATATGGGATGCATCAGCTGAAACTAATTCTAAGGTGGAGAACACCATGGTGTATCAGTTCAGAAAAGAGGCGAATAACCTTTACTTAGAGGGAGCTGTTTACTTCCATGTATTCTTCTTCCTTTGTCAAATTTTTTAGAGGTGGAACAATGGCATTGTGCGAGGAAGCAAAGATGTGCAAGAGATTGCAAGAAAAGGTAACGTGTTTGAATCCCAAGCAGTTTGATTGTCAATTAGAATTGCAGCAAACAACATATTCTTAGTAAGGAAATGCTAAGCCTGGCAGAAGCGGATTCTCTTTTTCAAGTACATGAGAATCATAAAATTACCGTAGTACAACAATCACACATAGGTCATCACCCTAGCTTAGTTTCTGCCAAACAAAAGGGGAAAGGAAAAGCTGTCCAAAAGCAAAGAATCTGAGGAAGTTACATGTGATTACTATAAGAAACCTCACCATACCAGAGATAAATGCTAGAAAATCAATCAACACTTGAGACCATATCCAAGTTTAAATGAGGAATGAAAGGTTTTGCTAATCTACACTAGAATCCATTACTACTAAAAGGACTATAACCATTGAGATGTTGACAAATGCTAGGGCTAAGATTAAGAAATTTATTTGCTTTCTAAAACAATTGGAAGGCTTTCCTCTATTCCCTTCTTATCAATTGAACTCTAATAAGGATAAAGTTTATGTAGCCGATGGTTTACTTGACCCCATATCTGGAAAGGATATTAGTGATCTACGTTTCTTGATTTGTTCTTCATGTACCCAAATTAATTGTAAAATTACCTGCCATTAGCTGCATAACAAAGAGTTAAACTGCTGCATAACACACTTTCCTGGCCATTGTGTTTTTCAGGACCTGGAGTCGAGAATCTGTTTGTCTCACCATGGTTGTTCCTAATAACAACAATATTATCTACATAGACAATTAAAATGGTAACAGAGTCTCCTTCTGTTTTAATGAACAAGGTGATAATCTTCAGATTGCTTGAACCTAATTTTTAGAACCACTCCCTTTGACTAGCTTAGTATGCAGAGGGACTTGTAGGTGTACCCTCACCACCAAAAGGTAACACTAGTGACAACACAACCACCACCACTGGGGGACTTGAATCTAGGTCCAAATACCTCAAGTAATTCTCCTTCTAATTTCCTACTTGTAGATCATATGACTATGTACCCTCCTAATATCTACTTGTTTTGATCTAGAGGAGATAAAGGAAGCAGTGTTCTCAATGGACAGGACAAAAGCTCCAGGCCCAAATGGTTTCACAATGGCATTTTATCAGGATTGTTGGGATATTGTGAAGCAAGATCTAGTGTTGGTTTTTGAGGAGTTCCATAAAAGGGGAATAAGTAATCGAGGTTTAAATTCCACATTCATTGCCTTGGTCCCAAAGAAGAAAGAGGTGTCACAACCAAGGGATTTCAGACCTATTAGTTTGGTGAATAGTCTGTACAAGATAATTGCAAAAGTGTTGTCTCTAAGGATTAAGAAAGTTTTTGCTACCATTATTGCACCCAACCAAGGTGCTTTTGTGAAGGTAAGGCATATTAGTGATCAAATTTTGATTGCAAATGATAGTTTGGAGAGCTTTAGGAAATCCAAGAAGAAGGGAGTGGTATGCAAGTTAGACTTAGAGAAGGCTTATGACCTAGTTGATTGGTCCTTCTTGGTGGAGGAGATGAGAAGTTTTGGCTTTGGAGATAGGTGGTGTAGATGGGTTTGGGGTTGTGTTAGGAGCTGCCACTATTCAATCTTGGTGAATGGAACTGTGGTGGATTTCTTTCCTGTCGTGAGAGGAATAAGACAAGGAGATCCGCTCTCCCCCTTTCTATTCACTCTGATTGCAAATGTCCTGGGGAGACTGATCCATAGAGCTGACTCGAGAAACCTAATAAAAGGATGGAGAGTTGGAAGGGGGGGAATACCACTTACACACTTGTAGTTCGCAGATGACACAATCCTGTTCTGTGAAGGTGGGGACCTAAATTGGATCGGGAATTTAAAATTGACAATACAACTCTTTGAGCAAATGTCTAATCTTAAAGTGAACTTTGATAAGAGTTGCTTGGTGGGAGTGAATTTGGAGGAGAGGGAAGTAAGTGAATGTGCAGGTTTGTTAGGTTGTGTAATCTCGGATTGGCCTATCATTTACTTGGGCCTCCCCCTAGGAGATAACCCTAGGAATGAAAGCTTTTGGAACCCGGTATTAGAGAGATTTGAGAAAAGGCTAGCTTCTTGGAGGAAAAATTATCTCTCTTTAGGGGGATCACTCTGATTAGGTCTACCCACTGTTGTTAAGACGACTAGGCGATTTTTAGAAGTCACCTCGCCCAACGCCTAGGTGTTTTTGTATTAGGCACTCACACATATATATGCTATACTATTATTTTGAATATGCATGTATTATATATCATTTTTATTGGTTTGTTTTATCTTATTACAATACACCCTGTTGTATATTATCATTTTTATTAAAGTAATTCTCTTTTACTTTAATAAAAGAGAAGAGAGATCGAGAGCTGAGAAGAGAAAATGATGACAAGAAGTTTCCAAGTAGTCCAAGACCTCCTAGTACGTTTTTTCCTTCTCCTCCTCTTCCTTCTTCTTCTTAACAATCCTCCTCCATTTTTTTTAGCCTGAAACAGGGTCTCCACCCACTTAAACACAATCCACATCGCCCTTTTGGACAACTTATGTTGTGAACAAAACAGGGGCTCCGCCCCCTTATTTTTCACTCTTCTCTTATCTGCAATCCCCCATTTTTTTGGCCTGGATGCTATGGCATTTTATGTTTTATTCGAATGATTTTATTGCTAATAGCTAGCATACAAGTATGTTGGTTAGTAAAAAAAACCAATAAGCTTAAGAGGAGTAGGGATATATATATTTTATACTTTCAAATTCCATCGCCTAGGCGACTGAGCGCCCTGTGGTCGCCTAGGCGAGCCTAGGTGCCTTGACAACTATGGGTCTACCCTAGCTAATCTTCTTGTTTACTTCCTGTCAGTGTTTAAGATTCCACAAAGGTCTCTAACAAGGTGGAATTAATGAGGGATTTTTTATGGGAACCAAGAGTGGAGAAGCAAGACCATAGGGTGAGTTGGAAGGTGGTAACTAGAAGCAAGAAGCTAGGGGGGCTTGGGATTGGGAATATTAGGAAAAGAAAAATGGCGTTGTTGGGGAAATGGTTGTGGAGGTTTCCACTGGAAAGGGACAAATTGTGGACGAAGATAGTGGCTAGCATACATGGGTTGGATGAGAACGA